CAGATGTTAGTCTGTTTAAAGATGTCCCAGAGGTTCTTAAGCCTATTCTCACTCTTTTCTTAATTCTTTTTTTTCCCTCCTGTTCTGATTGAATGTTTTTTCCTTCCTTGTGTTCCAAATTGTTGATTTGATTCTCAACTTCATCCTCTCCACTGTTAGTTCCCTGTAGATTTTTCTTTATTTCACTTAATGCAAACCTCATTTCTGCCTGGGTCATCATTATGTCATTGAAGTACCCAATGAGTTCCTGGAACATCCTGGTAACCAGTGCTTTGAACTGGGCATCTGATAGGTTTCTTATCTCCATTTCATTTAGTTATTTTTCTAGAATTTTGTTCTGTTTAATTTAGGCCATATCTCTTTGTCTCCTCATTTTGGTGGCCTCTCTGTGTCTGTTTCTGTGTATTAGGTAGAGCTGTTTTGAATCACTGTCTTAGTGCACTTGTTAAGTTGTATGGGCAGATAGAGCCTTAGATAATCACCAGGGTGAAGAATCCCTTGTCACCACTCTGGTGCTCTGTGTGGGGGAAGGCTTGCAGAGGAGACAATGCTGCTGCCTGGATCTGGAGTTTTGCCTGGAAAGAAGCTGTCTCCCCGCATGCACTTAACTTTCTCCTTATATGCCACTGGTGCTCTTCCAGCTATTGCCTGGTGCTGAATCCCAGATGTGGTGGGTCTACATGAGTCCTAAGTACATTGTGGGCCCTTGAAGAGGATGTAGTTTCTTCTGCTACCCCAACCTTCACTGGTTTCACAGTCATAATTTATGGTGACTTATCTTTCTGGTGCTGGGACCCTGGGCTGCTTGGTCTGTACTGGGACTGTGATCCCTAGCTCCCAAGGTATCACTCTCATTTTTTATCTACCACATGTTGATGTGGGACTCTCGTTCCCATCTCCACCCCTCTCTGTGCCTCTCTGTGTCTCTGCCCTTCTTACCCACCTGGATGAATGTGGCTTCTTTAGATTCTTGGCTGTCAGACTTCCACACAGCTTGATTTTCTGACAATTCTGGGTGATATTTGTTTTGTGGTGTACCTGTATTTCTTGCTATAGTTTTGTGCAGAGGCAGACATGTTTATCTATGTCTCCATCTTGACCACAACTTTTTATCCATAATTATTATTTCTTTATTTGACAAAGCTTTTCATGTACTTTAAGCACATTAAATACACCTAATTAGTTCAAAATTTCTTCTTAATTAGAAGAAAGAACAAATCCCCAAGACATTCCAGAGATCCATTGGAATGATCCAAAGTGAATTTTAGGTCAAGAAAAAGTCTTTTGAATTTCTAGTCAAGATGGCATCCTAGGTAAACACGGCTCACCTTCTTGCACAACCACATCAAAATTACCACTAAGATACAGAACAGCCATCACTCAGAACCATCAGAAATTGAGTTGAAGTCCTGGCTGGCGTAGCTCAGTGGATTGAGCGTGGGCTGGGAACCAAAGTGTCCCAGGTTCGATTCCCAGCCAGGGTACATTCCTGGGTTGCAGGCCATAACCCCCAGCAACCGCACATTGATGTCTCTCTCTCTCTCTCTCTCTCTCTCTCTCTCTCTCTCTCTCTCTCTCCCCCCTCCCTTCCCTCCCTAAAAATAAATAAATAAAATCTTTAAGAAAGAAATTGAGTTGAATGGAAGTCTGACAACTATGGAATTAAAGAAACCACACTCATCAGACTGGTAGGAGGGGCAGAGACACAGGATGGACTGGTCCTACATGCATGTGTGGTGGATAAAAATTTGGAAGGGATGTCTTAGAAGCAAGGAGTCCAAGCCCCATACCAGTCCCTCCAGGCCAGGGTTCCAATGCCAGGAAGATAAGTCCCTATAACTGCTGGCTAAAAAAACCCACCAGGGATTGAGTCAGTAGAAAGAACACCTGGAGTCCCAAGCACTTTCCCTTGAAGAACCCACACACAGACTTACTCAGACTCACTCCCTCTGAGCTCCATCACCAGGGTAGTAGCTTGAAGAGTACTAGCAGCATATAAAGAGGAAGTGAAATGTCTGGCATCAAGGAAGGAGCTGGGGGGAAGCATTCTCTTAGACAGAAAGGTGGGCAGAGGCCACTGTTCCTTTTCTGAGCCTCTCCACAAAGAGCTACAGAGCTGGCAGGCAGGTGCCATGTCTGAGACTCTATCAGCCTAGCTAACAGTGTTTGCCCTGAGCTGGAGGTCCCCTGAGACTCTGTCCTACCCAACTTGCAGGCTCACCTGAACTGTTAACTGTCACTTTTCCATATGAATGGCTGGTCTTGGCTCATGCTTCACAACTTCCTAAATCTTCTCAAAAAAGCAACAACCAGACTCAGTGAGCCACATACCCCCTTACCTCTTGCAAAGAGGCCAAAGGCTCAGGATTACCAACAGCAAGCCTAGATTCACATCTTGGCTTCATCTGGGAATCTCCAACTCACCAATTCAGACTCACTCTCTCTGAGCTCCAGCACCAGGGTAGCAGCTTGAATGGCATCAGTTATATACAGGAAGTAACTGAAGTGTCTGGCATCAGGGCAAGCAGAAGCCATTGTCATATTCTAAACCCTCTCCCTACAGAGCTGGTAAGCTGGTGCCATATCTGAGACTCCATCAACCTGGCTAACACTGTTTCACCTGCCTTGGAGATCCCCAGAGACTCCACCCCACTCAGTTTACAGGCCCACCCAAGCTGCTTTTCCATATGAATGGCTGGTCTTGGCTCATGCTTTACAACTTCCTCAATCCTATCAAACAAGCAACAACTGGCTTCAGTGAACCCCAGGCCTTGCACTAGCAGCAGCCAGCTTAGATTCATAGCTTGGCTTCCCCTGGGAATCTCCGAGCTCAGCACAAGTGGCAGCCATCTCAGATTACTTTATAGATCGTGCAGGGTGGCCCTGAACAGAACACAGGTGGGGCTGAACTTAGCCTGCACCACCACTCCAGGAAACCCCAGAGCCTGAGCACCCAGTGAACACCTACAAATCATGGTGAAACACCACCAACCTGCCCTGCACAGCTGATCATCCATGGAGGGTGGAGGTTGGTGGTCAATGGTCACAGCCAGTCCTTGTAGCTGACTGGCCTGGGTAAATCCCTCTCATTGACCTGCCAACAGCAACCAAGGCTCAACTATAAGAGAAGGGAGTACTCAGCACACACAATGGGTGCACCTTGAGTACCCACCTTGGGTGAAAGGGCAGGCTGTGTCACTGAACCCTATAGGACACCTACTACATTAGGCCACACTACCAATAGAGGAAGTCATAGCAGTTCTACCTAATACATAGAAACAAACACAGGGAAGCAGCCAAAACAAGGAGACAAAGAAACATGACCCCAATGAAAAGACAGATCAAAACTCCAGAAAAAGAGCTAAACAAAATGGAGATAATCAATCTATCAAATGCAGAGTTCAGAACACTGGTTACAAGGACATTCAAGGAACTTAGAACCTCAACAGCATAAAAAAGATCCAGTCAGAAAAGAAGGATACACTAATTAAAATCATGAACAATGTACAGGGAAACAATAGTAGTGTGGATGAAGCTGAGAATCAAATCAATGATTTGGAACATAAGGAAGCAAAAAACAACCAATCAGAACAACAAGAAGAAAACAGAATCCAAAAAAATGGGGGTAGTGTAATGATCCTCTGGGACAACTTCAATGTTCCAACATTCGCATCATAGAGGTGCCAAAAGGAGAAGAGAAGGGCAAAAAATTGGAAATCTATTTGAAAAAAATAATGAAAGAAAACTTCCCTAATTTGGTGAAGGAAATAGGCATACAAGTCCAGGGAGCACAGAGAGGTGCTTCCACGGAGCACAGTGATCATCCTGACACGGCATCAGTTATATACAGGAAGTAACTGATGCCATATTTGCAAACATGTTTGTAATAGCATGGATGCAAAGAGGCCACCTCCAAGGCATGTCATATTTAAAATGCTGAAGGTTAAAGATAAAGGGAGACTTTTCTTTTTTTTCCAGATGAAACAATTTTATTTCACAGTTGTCTTTAAAACCACAAAGACACTGTTTTTCATATAAAAACATTAGTATAGATAAACTATACTTTCTAGAAAATGATTATATAGACCCTCTCAAACAAAAATACATCCCATTATATGGTTTCAGTGAAGTTGCTCGGGAAAAACTCACAGCCGGACTGATTCCTAAAACATACCATTCTACTATTGTATCTTTTGGTTCAAAGTATAGATTATTCTCATCAGGTCATGTTCCTGCATTCTTACACAGTTGATAATACACATATAGACCAGGGGATTATCACTTAATGCTCCACTGGTCCATCAGCTGGTTGAGAATGCTGTGCCTTTGTCTGTGGCCTTTCATCAAGACCTTCCAGGAATGGAGACACATCATCATCATCATCATAAATCATAAAGTCCAAGTCTTTACCAACAATACCAATGGAGACATTCTTTGTATTTAGGTCCTGTTCTGCAGGAAGTGTCTCTCTTAAAGCAAACAAACCATGCTTAACCAATTCATTTAAATTGCACTCCATAAACTCAGATATATGTCTCTCCAAGTAAGTAAGAGCTGATTGAGAGCAGGCTCCAATGGACATTGCTCTGCAGTCAAAATAGTTAGCAGATGGACAGGTTTGGAAAATATGAGGACCCATATCATCATAAGCAGCAATAAGCAGCCCAACACCATATGGTCTTCAGCCATATCTTTGCGTTGGTATCTGGGTCTTGCTTCCAATTAAAGCTATGAGAGGAGACACAGGAAGAGGTCTGTCAAATACAAATCTGGAATCCAAACACTCCTGGTCATAAAATTATGTAAGAGTCTAGCATCAGCCATAAGTCCTGCAATTGAGATACCAATATGGTTGTCAACATAGACAATTTTTTTTCTGATGCATTTCAAGCTCTGACTGTGCTCTCTTCAATGCAACCAACACTGCATAGGTTTTTTATTTTAGGCCAACTGTGGCTGAACCTTGTTTGTTTGACAGCTTCCATTACCCATTCAGTTTGATGAATCTGGCCCTGAGGACTCCAAACAGTGACATCATTGTCATACTGGATGCAAAACATGGTTCTGATGGAGACGTGGCAGTCACCTCCTGCAAAACCGCAGATCCTAAAGAGAGAATTTTAAAGGCAGCAAGAGTAAAACAGTTACCTACAGGTGAGTTCCCATAAGACTGTCGGCTGACTTCTCAAAAGAAACTTTGCAGCCTAGAAGGGATTCACAAGAAATAGTCAATGTCATGAAAAGCGGGGAGCTACAGCCAAGATTGCTCTATGCAGAAAAGCTATCATTTAGAATTGAAGGGTAAATAAAGAGCTTTCTGGACAAGAAAAAAACAAGGGAGTTCATTGTCACTAAACCATTATTGTATGAAATGTTGAAGGGACTTATTTAAGAAAAAGAAGATCAAAACAATAAACAATAAAATGCCAATAAATACATATCTACTGACAATTGAATCTAAAAAATACACTAAGCAAGCAAGAACAGAGACCACTTTGATGGTTGCCTAATGGAAAGAGGTTGTGGGGGAGATGGGTAAAGAGGTGAAGGGATTGAGAAGTACAATAGGTGCATACAGAATAGCCATGGGGATATAAAGAACACTGTAGGGAAAAGGATTAGGAAAAGAACATACATACGACCCATGGACATGAAAATGGTGTGGAGACTGCCTGAGGAAGTAGGGTTGCTGGTAGAGGAGGCAAAGAGGGAAAAATTGGGACAACTGTAATAACATAACCGGTAAAATATAATTTTTAAAATGTTGGCAAGTAAAAAGAATGACATGATTACAGATTTGATTATAATGCAGTTGGCATAGGGATGTGCTTTCCTGAAACAGCATTTTAAGATAACAACTAAATTACAAATAAAAGTGTACCAGAACTTTGTAGATTCTTGGAGATCTTTGTATAATCTCTAAAGCACCTTACTTAATTATTAAATATATGTATACAACTGGAACATACTTATTTTTCATTATTTGACAAAGCTTCCCAAGTACTTTATATGTATTAAATAGGCCTAATTAGTTTAATACTTCTTTTTTATTTTAAAAATTTATTTATTTTTAGAGAAGGGAAGGGAGGAAGAAAGAGAGGAAGAGAAACATCAATGTGTGGTTGCCTCTCGTGTCCCCCTGCTGGGGACCTGGCCTGCAACCCAGGCATGTGACCTGACTAGGAATCAAAGTGGTGACCCTTTGGTTCACAGGCTGGTGCTCAATCCACTGAACCATACCAACCAGGTCCAAAATTTGTTCTTAATAAGGAGAAGGAACAAATCCCTGATGCATTCCAAGGACACTTTGGAATGACCCAAAACCAATTTTAGGTCCAGAAAAAATCTCTTATTATCTAAACTCTGGGAAAGTTGTCAAATATACTTAATCAAAAGATTTTATTTACATATATATAACTTATATATATTGTACACGTAATATATCTTATACATATAATAAATGTTATATATAATTATGAAACAATAATAAATTATTATTTACCAAAAGTGACAATAAAGGTATCAAACATAAATACAGGGTACCAAATCTATACTTCCTACAATAAAGAATATGGGTTTTGAGTAATGAAGTACCTGATAAACACAATAGAGCCCACAAGTGTGAAAGAAAAAAAAATGGTTCATATACCCTCCATGGCTCCCCGCCTCCCTTAGGGGAGTCCCATCTCCTGACCTGGCACGTGCAGCCTGACCCACTACATACATTTTTGGTCCATTTTCCAACTGAACCAAGTTCCACCCAGAAAAGCTGGAAGAAGAAGTAACTCAGGCATCACCACTGCCCCTGCCCACACCATTCCCTTCCTGGGTGGGGACTGGACCCTTGGCCCATCCCACTCATGGCCACCTCTGCAACTGGTTCAGCATCTTGCTCATGCCCTGCACCCTGCTGGCCTTCCAGGCCCAGGCTCCCTCTCTGCTGAGTTTCTCAATGTCTTCTCTCTCAGGGCCTTTGGACTTTGAGGCATACAGTGCAGCTGCCCTGCAGGAAGGCAAGTATGTCTGGACCTGGATGCCCAGGCTGGACTGTGGGGAAAAGGGGAGCAGAGCTGAATGGGAAGGGAGCACCCTCAGGACTCAGCCTCACCCTCCATCTATCCTCAGCGATGAAACGTTTGCGGGGAGCCAAGGCCTTTCGCCTTCCAGGACTGAGCCGGAGGGAGCGCGAGCCACCTACAGCTGTGTGAGGAAGCCCCCCGCCCCCGCCGACCAGCCCTGGGCCAGGCTATCCCAGAAGTCCCCTGCCGAGGGCAGCCCAGCAGTATTCTTATTCCAGGCCAAACACAGAGTGCCTCTGTCCCAGGCTAACTCGATATCACCTACTCAAGCTAGTCCCGAATTCTTCCCTCTGCCAAGGCTAGACCGGGGGCTGCCTGCCCCAGACTCACCCAGGGTCACCCCACCCAGGCTGGCCCAGGGTCCCTCCCGTTGTCAAGGCTACTCCTTCTGTTTCTCCCCTTCATCCATCCCAGAGATTCTCACTTTGCCAAGACGAGCTGGGGAGCCCCCCTGCCCAGACTAGTAGCCAAGCCTTCCCTACGCCCATAGTCTCCTTGGCTAGCCCAGGGTTCTTCTCTTTTCAAAGGCTAGCCCCTGCGTCCCTTGCCTTCTCAGGCCAGCCCTTCTCACCAGCCCCAGGGCTCCTGCCCTCCACGCTGTTTGAGACCAGCCCTCGCTCTGCTGAGTCCAGGTCCCCTGCCTCCCACCCCAGGCAAGCCGGGATCCCAGCAGCTGCGGGGCCAGCTCAGGACATTATTGCAACCCAGGCCCATGCCCTCAGTTGCCGTTTCCAGTGTTGGGGGCCAGGGGACAGATGAGGTGGGGGAGCTGACTCCCATATCTTTTCCATCCGCAGAGACCCCGTGGAACCTGACGTGGCGGTGAGTGCCATTGGGGCTGAGTTCAGGTCCGGTCCAGTGGGGGGCTGCAGGGCGAAAGTGGACGTTTCGTAGGGCAGAGCCTGACTCACCACCTGTCCCTCCAGCCATGTTCGGAGGTGGATGAAGAAGGCTTCACTGTCCGGCCTGACGTGACCCAGAACAATATCCTTCTGGCACCCTCTGGGGGCAGTTGTTGGCACAGCAATGATAAGGCTCTGTTCACAGTGATTTCTCTACCATCAGCAACCCTCTTTGGGCACACCCTGGGGGGGAGCCTCTGGTGTGGACAAGCACATCCAAATGCAGACACCTGACCTGTGGGGTCAGGGCTGGGGGAGAGGGAGAGAGGAGGGGCTGGGTTACAATAGAGGGGGATTGAAGAGGGCTTCCTGGAGGAGGGGGCACCAGTGTTGGGGTTTAAGAGTTGAACAGCAGTTCACTGGTTAGGGCAGGGCATGCTCGTGCACAGGCTTGAGTGGGGGCAGGGGGAGGGTTGAAACGTGGTGTCAGGGCCAAGGGTGACAACTGGTTTCAGAGAACTGTACAGGCTCTCAAGGGGTTTGAGCCAGAAGGGCCCCAGTCAGACTTGAGGGCCGACTAGCTGGAGGCCCCCGCACTGGGACCTGCTTGGCCCCCTTGACTGAGGCGCACGCACAGCTGAGCCCTCCCTGCTTCTCGTCCAGCGACTCGGACTTTGATGATGAGGAGCCACGCAAGTTCTACGTGCACATCAAGCCCGCCGCAGCCCGGGCCCCCAGCCTGCAGCCCCGAGGCAGCTGCCGCACAGCTCAGGGCCACGGCGGGCAGCCTCATCCTCCCTCCGGGCCCAGGGGGTGAGGCTCAGGAGAGGTGTGCCGGGTGGGGCTGGGGGCTGGCTGGATGCACCCGACCTGATGCCACCCGCTTTGTCCGCAGGGCACCATGAAGCGCCATTCTTCCCGTGAGTAGCTTGTCCAGGGGTCTTCGGTTGGGGGAGGAGAACCCGGAGGGGAGACCAGGCCCGAACTACGGGTGTGGGTTTGAATCCCAGCTCTGCTGTGTGACTTGGGGCAGGTGCTTACCCACCCTGACACTCGGTCCCCTCTTCTATGAAAGGGGGTCATTACGAGAATTAAATGAGACCCCCCAAGGAGTATCCCGGAAAGAAGCCCAACCCAGAGACAGTGAGGGTCAGGGGGAAGTCCCTCTCTGCCTGGTTTGGTCAGTCTGGCCGGCTGGCTGGACAGCCCCGAGCCTCGGTCTCCTGGTCTGCGGATGGGTAGCTCTGCAGCCAGGGCGCTGGGACGGCTCAGGGAGGCCCTTGTCTTGTAGGGGATGCTGCTGGGAAACCACAGAGGCCTCGGTCTGCCCCAAGAGCCAGCAGGTGAGTCCACGGGGGGTCATGGGGTCAACCCAAGTGGGCAGGCAGGGACCGTCCCATCGTCTCTCTCTGCCTCCTCAGCTCCTTCTCTGTGTCTCTGTCTCCACTTCTCTCTCCCAGGCAGAGAGTTCAGAGACACTTAGTGATTCACTCGATGAACATGTGTGCAGTGCCTGCTGTGTATTCGTGCCACTCTGGGTTCTGGGATACATGGCCCAGATAGGCCCCCCTTCTCCGAGTCACGTTCCAGTGGCTCAGGGTTTTTTTGTGTGAGGCTCAGATTTTAAGAATAACAAATAAGGTAGAGCATGTTCAATACTTCTAAGGGTTACGAAGAACTAAAGCAGGGGATGTGATGGAAGATGGGAGTGGTGACATCAGCGGGGCTGGACGTGCAGGGCCTGGGCGGTTGTCGGGGGACGGCTTTCAGCCGAGCCCCGAAGAGAAGCAGGAGTGGGCCCAGGGAGACTGGGGAGAGTGGAGGCCAGACCAAGAGCAGCATGTGCAAAGGCCCTGAGCTGGAAGGAGGCGTGCAAACAACAGAACAGCCCCTCTTGTCCGTTTGGTCCCCCAGCTGCACGGAGAAGCTGCAATCAGATGAGCAGTTTTCTAAGAACCTCTTTGGGCCACCCCTAGAGTCAGCCTTTGACCACGAAGATTTTACAGGTGACTGGGGCACAGGACTTTGGGGGCGTGGGTGTCGCCAGAGGGAGGGTGGGTGGAGCCACAGCAGGGTGGGTGGTTCAGGTGGGCAAGAGGCTGTGCTGGGCTGGAGGGAGGATGTGGGGGTCCTTTGTGTGTTTAAGGGAAGATCATGGGGGCCAGGTCAGTGTGAGGGTGGGCGGGGCCACAGTGTGCATGGGTGGAGCCAGAGACAAGGTGAAGCCCCTAGGGAGAAGGGTTGGCAGTGGGTAGGTGGGTGGGACCTCAGTGGAGATAGAAGTGACCAGAGGGCATAGCCTAGGGTGGAGGGGTAGGGCCTGGCTTTGAATGGGGGAGGGCCTTTCCAGACCTGTGTGTGGCCTGCAGGAAGATGGCCCAGACTCCCTGGGGGCGGGGTCTGGAGCTGGCGGCCCTTTCTCCCCACAGGCTCCAGCAGTCTGGGCTTTACCTCCAGCCCCTCGCCTTTCTCCTCCTCATCTCCAGAGAACGTGGAGGACTCTGGCCTGGACTCCCCGTCTCACACAGCACCAGGCCCCTTCCCGGAATCCTGGGTCCCCCGCCCGGGCACCCCACAGAGCCCACCTAGCTGTAGGGCACAGCCACCTGAGTTGAGGGGAACACGGCCCCTGCTGTCCTCGGATTCGCCACAGCCCCTGGCATCGTCCCCAGGCCCCTGGGGGCTGGAGGCCGTGGCTGGAGGAGGTGAGCCCAGCGGCCGGGAACTGTGATCGGAACCCTGAGAAGAGGATAGGTAGAGCGCCTGCTGTGATCTGGGCCTGTGGGGGCACACACCCACGCTCGCAGGGACAATAATAAAATAGATATTTAACAAGGCAGGAAGTGGCAGGTGGCTGATGAGGGCTCCAAAGGGTGGGGCCTCCCTGAGCAGGGACCTGTGAGCTGAGATAGGCCGAGGTACAGGTGAAGCCACGTGCATGTGGGGGAAGGGCGCTCCCAGCAGAGGGCACTGCCTATGCCAATGCAACACGGCAGGACCTGGCTAGACCCTGAGGAACAGGGGGGAGGCTGGTATGGCTGGAACAGAGTGGACAGGAGGGAAGATGTCCGCAGGCCTTTGGCACCAGGCGTGGAAGGCTGCCCGGGGGGAGCAGAGGAAAGGAGAGGGTCCAAGGCTGAGCTGAGGCAGGGCTAGAGGGCGGGGGGAGGAGGAGAGCAGGCAGGAGCTGGCCCCCGGAGGTCACGTGAGGAGAATGGAGTCCCCTTGGCAGGTAGAGGAACTGTGGGCTGTGACCACACGAGGTCCCCAGCAGTGGTAGTGGGGGTGCTTGGCACTGCCCGTGGTTAGTGAAAGGCCCTGGTCAGAGCTGCTTCACGGGAGGGCCCAAGGGAGTGGGTGTGGACCCCGAGTGTAGACGAGTTGAGTTCTCTGGTCTTCACTGTTGAACAGCGATTCTCAGCCAGGCCGGGTCTGCCCCCAGGGGACACCCAGCAAGGTCCCAAGGTCCCACCACTGATATTTGATGGACTCCTCTGGGGGCATGGGGACAAATAGCATCTGGTGGGTTGGGGCCAGGGATGCTGTTCACCACAGTAAGTACGCAGGGTGGCCCCCACCCAGGAAATGATCTGCAGTGTGAGCGTGTCCGCAGTGCTGTGGAGCAACCTGGAGACTAGAGGAACGTGGCCTGGACAGCCGGTGGGAGGGGGGGTGGTGAGCAGAGCAGGGGATGCCAGGGAGGTAGGAGAGCTAGGGGAACCTGGGTGTCGACGCCATGTTAGTTAACTTACAAGGGTGAGCCTCAGATGGGGGCCAGGGTTGGAGGCCACCCATATACGCTCTGAATGTTAGGTAACAACCCTCTTCCAAATCCCCACTCTGGCGGGCCTGCCTTCTGAGCATCGAGTCCTTGACTAGAGTTCCACCAGTGACGGGGAGCTCACCTCTTATTGTGCCACCAGTCTGGTGTCTGGTGGGCTCAGGGTCGTGGACGGTGTCTGCGGCCTTGTCTGGCGTCTTAGTAGCCGCAGGACTTCAGACCACCAGGGGCTCTCCGCACAATAGTCCGACTCCCAGTTTTTGGCCAAGTTCCAGCCCGGGGAGGCCCAAGAGGCCCGGGGGCAGCATCTCAGCCACGTCTCTGTCACGCTCACCCCCCAGAGCCAAGGCCCGTACCTGCCGACCCCACGGCCATGGAGGGCCTGGCAGCCCCACCCCGGAGGCCCCGCTCCAGGAAGGTGTCCTGCCCCCTCTTGGGCAGCAACGGGGATCTGGTAGGGTGAGGGGGCGTGGCAGGAGCTGGGCTGGGGGTCGCCCCCGGGGGTCAGCCTCAGGATGCTGCTCCTTGGGTGTTCCCAGCCCAGCCCATCTCCTTCCCTTCCAGTCTCATTCTCCGAGTCCCTCCCCACTCGGCTCTTTCAGTCCCCCTGCACTGGCCCAGAACGTTCCAACTTCTCATCGCAGACAGGTCACGGTACGTGTGATTTTCACCTTCTCCAGTCTGGGTGGGGGCTAAGCGATACACTAGAGTCCCTGTAGGCAGAGCGTAGGTTCTGGAGCCTGAAGACTGTGTTCACTCTCTGTCTGCCCCTCATTCCCTCCCCGCACCCCCAGGGATCTCCCGGGGCCCAAGCCCTGTGGTCCTGGGCTCCCAGGATGCCCTGCCCGTGGCCACCGTCTTCACCGAGTACGTCCACGCCTACTTCCGTGGCCACAGCCCCAGGTACGTGGTGCTGGGGCACAGTGCAGACAGTGAGAGGCAAACAGGGCTCCCTGGGGGCTGTGTGTCCGGTTTCCAGCATGGACAGCCTTCAGATGTGTGTCCTACCCGTTTTACCTGGAAGGGCCGGGAACACTGAGCTGAGCAACCATGTCCCTGTCCTCCGGGGCAGGGGGAGGCACAGAGGGTGTCTGAGCAGGGCTGGGCATTATTGTGGCTGCAGTCCAGAGCAAGTCCTCCTAGGCTGCTGTGAGCAGCAACCTGAAGAGAAGAGGACCCGAGGCCAGGCCCACAGAGGGGGTGGGTGAAGGGTGCATTGAGGGACCAGGGACAGTCTGGGGGCAGTGTCCAGAAGAAAAGAATTTCAAGTCAAACCAAGAAGAGGAAGAGAGCAATAGACCCGAAACCCAGTCTGAGGACTCTTATAAAACTGAGCGTGTGCTGTGAGCTTCTTCGTGGCCTAGGGGAAAAAAGAACTAGGGAAGGAGGTTTCCTGCCTCCACCAGCCCAGTGTGGATTCTGCCTGGTGCCTGGATTGCTACCCAGGCAGGGACCCAAGGGGAGGAGGTCGGGGGTAAGGATGCTGGGCATAGTCAGGGCCTTGCTGCTTCTGCAGACCCAGGGAGCCACAGGCTACAGTGGAGCCAGGAGTGAGGGGGCGTGAGGTGCCCGGAGGAGCCCTGAGCCAAAGCCCAGTCCCCTCACCTCTCACCCAGCTGCCTGGCTCGAGTAACTGGGGAGCTGACCATGACCTTCCCAGCTGGCATCGTGCGTGTGTTCAGCGGGACCCCGCCCCCGCCCGTCCTCAGCTTCCGTCTGGTGCACACAGCCCCCATCGAGCACTTCCAGCCCAGCGCCGATCTCCTCTTCAGGTACTGTTGGGAGGTGGGCGTCAGGAACAAGGGGTCCCAGAGGCTAGTGGGGGCCAAAGCCCCCAGCTGTAACTTCCTCCTCTGTCTCCCAGAATTTGCTGTGTGTCCCTGGGTTAAGTCCCTCCCCATCCCTGAACCTCACTTTCCTGCCCTCCTTTGCTTCTCTGCCAACCACACTTAGCTGGGCCCAAGGTGACCCAGAAAATCAGCACTTTTAGGAAGCCCTTGGGGTAGGTGGGATGCTGAGGACCCCCAAGAAGGATTCTTCTGAGTGTGGGAGTGATCGTTCTGGGTCTCTGCAGTGACCCCCTCTCAGAGCGACCCTGAGACCAAAGACTTCTGGCTCAACATGACAGCCCTGACTGAAGCGCTGCAGCGCCAGGCAGAGCAGAATCCAGCTGCCTCCTACTACAACGTAGTGCTGCTGCGGTACCAGGTGGGCTGGGTGGATGGGGTGGGAGGGGGGCGGGGAGGGGGCAGGGCAGAGGGGGCCAGGAAGGAATGACAGGGGGAAAGTTGGGCAGAGAGTAAATGGTGGAGTAAGCAGACTAGGAAGCTGGGCTTCCAAGAGTGGAAGACATCATTATGCAAACTAGAAGTGCCTCTCCCAGGACTCCACACTGGCACCCATCCACGGACTTTATTAGCATGAGGCCCTCTCCTGCCCTCTGCTGGAAGTGTGATGTAATGCAGACTCCTATCTGCAAAGTCTGCAGGAAAGGGCCTCTTGGGGCCTCTTGGGTGCAAGGCAGACCCAGCTGGTTGATAGTGCGTGGCGTGGCAGGGCAGCTCGGCCCAGTCTATGTCTCTCCCCCTTTTCTCACTCTTTCTAGTTCTCCCGCCCGGGGGCCCCAGTGTGTGCCTCTGCAGCTGAGCGCCCACTGGCAGTGCGAGGCGACCCTCACTCAGGTCTCGGTGGAATACAGCTACCGGCCGGGTGCCACGGCAGTGCCTACGCCGCTCACCAATGTCCAGGTCCTGTTGCCTGTGGGGGAGCCTGTGACCAATGTCCACCTGCAGCCAGCCGCTGTCTGGTAAGGGCATGTGGAAGGCCGAGAGAGGCTCGGCAGTGCCCCCTGAGTCCCTGAGCCTCCCACTGATGAAGCAACTAACGGTCCGCCCTGGACCTAACGGGTCCCTGTGAGCTGGCCCTGCTTACACCCGAGGGTGCTATTATCAACAGTAACACTATCTGGCACTGAGAGCTGCCTCCTCGTCAGGAGGCAGTAATGAGTCCCATGGACTCATTAGCTTCAGGCTCCTAGCAGTTGCTCTGGGCGTGGATTGCCCCCATGCCCATGTATGGAGGGGATACAGAGGCAGAGGGAAGCTAAATTGCTCTTCTAAGGTCACAGCAGCATTTGAACCCAGCCCCAATGTCACCTTACATTGTTTTGTAAAGGTTACAACCTGCGAGAAAGAAGCCAGATTTATGAGACCAAATGCACCATCTGCAAAGGCTGCAAAGGCTGCAAAGCTGTGGGGCCCTTGGGGACCAACAGCTCCACCCCCCCACCCCCCATTTCACAGATGGGGAACCTGAAGCCAGGGAGGGGGCCTGGCTTGCGCAGGCCATGGAGCTGAGAGGCAACTGAGCTGGAACCCTGGGTTCTAAATGTTGTCTCTGGGGTAGACTCACCAAGCTTCTCTTGATGCCAGGAACCTGGATGAGAAGCGGTTCCTATGGAAGCTTCCAGATGTGTCTGAGGCAGGGGGTGAGTTCATGGTTATACGTGAGGGCTCAGAGGGCTCACCTGGGAGGACTTCTTTAAACTGCGGAGGACCGGGGATGTGCTGGGGTAGGGAAGTGTGGGCATGTGGACAGGCTTGGAAGGGCTTTGACACAGCTGGAGGAGAGGCACCCTGGGAGTGGGCACAGCAGGTGCAAAGGCCCGGAGGCAGGACTCCTTTGCAAACCACGCAGAGTCTCACGGGGCTAAAGGAAAGGAATACAGGGGCACAAGGGTAGGGTAGAGGGGCAGAGGGGCCACAACCCAAAGGTCTTGGGTGGAGGGACCAGGAGGAGCCTGGGTCACAGAGGGGCTGGGACTAGGGATGGGGCACAGCTGACCTCAGGCCTCCCCAGGCTCCGGCCGCCTGTCTGCCAGCTGGGAGCCGCACTCAGGGCCCAGCACTCCCAGCCCCGTGGCTGCTCAGTTCACCAGCGAAGGGGCCACTTTGTCCAGCGTGGACCTGGAGCTGGTGGGCAGTGGCTACCGCATGTCACTAGTAAAAAGAAGGTTTGCCACAGGTAGGCCCCACCCCGCTGCTGCCGCGCCCCTGCGAGCCAGGGCACAGGAGTTGTGGGAGGCATTTGGGGTGTTTGGGAAGGATAGGTGGTTATCGGGGTATGAAGACCCAGGATGGGGGGGGTGACCCAAGCAGGGAGGGATGGCCAAGACCCCCCCGTGGGAGGGGTCAAGAAGGAAGATGAATGTTTCTGGGTTGTCTCCTGGAGGCTGCTGGGTGTTCTTGCAAGGATGCGAGGCTTGGAGCCTGAAGCCCCGCAGCAGCGGTACCCTTACTCCATTCTCCGGCCCCTCAAGGGGCGGCTGGGGCCCATGGGGCAGTGAGTTAAGGGGTGTTTTGAGGGAGATTGGGGGATCCCAGGGTAGAAACAAGTGACCTTTCCCCACTCACGGCCCTGCCCCCCCCACCCCCCTCAGGAATGTACCTGGTGAGCTGCTGAGCCCGGGAGGCTGACCAGCCCACTGGCCCCCAGCTTGGCACCGAGTCCTGGTGCTGGGTGACTGGCCCCTGCCTGCTTGCTGGGCCCAGGGGTCCGCACCTGGCCTCCTCCGAGGCCCTGACTCTGTGAAGAGGAGCCCCACGCCCAGCCTGGCTGAGCCTGAGATTCACTCCCGCTCACACCAATTCCCACACAGGTCCTTGGACTTTTAATGTTCTTTGAATAAACACTTTATTTTCTAATAAAATAATTTTCCTGCTGCTGGAAGTTTCCTTCCCATCACCAGAGAGGAGAGGAAGAGAAGATGGATGCCTGGGGCAGATCTAACATCCCTAATGTTCCCTGTCGCCCCGCCCCCCCAACCTAGCCTGTGAAGAGTGATACTAGGACAGAACAAGCCAGACACGGACACCCCCAGCCCCATGGACTCCCCCAGTTCCATGGACTCAGAGTTGGGCTGGTGGAAGGAATGAGGACTGGAGGAACCCAGACGTGGGTGTCAGGAAGACTTCCTAAGGAGAGGGTATTCTCAATAAGGCTTTGAGGTGTGAGTAAGAGTTTGCAAGCTGGAGGTGGGCACCCCAGGCCAAGAGATAGTGAGTTCCATGAGACAGCAATTAGTCAGTCCATGAACACCAGTTGAGTGCCCACTGTGTGCCAGGCGTTAAGGAGCCGACTGTGAGCAGGAAAACGCGCTTGGAAGCCATAGGGCCATGAGCCAAAAGCCTGGCTTTAGAGCATGCTCAGTGGCTGTGCGACTTGGAGCAAGTGACTTGACCTCCCTGGGCCTCAGTTCCCTCATCTGTCACCCACTTTGCTGGGTGGCTGAGGGGAGGTCTCACACTTTGACAAGAACCTGGCACAGGGGAAGCACCCTGGCAGTGCTGGCAGCTTTTCTGTGATGGGAGCTAGGGTGGGGGCGGGCCTGATCGCAGGTGGGGGAGAGTGGGCCTGCTCAAGGCCCAGGACAGCCACGGTCACCAGCACACTGTGGCAGGGAGAGGTCTGAGCTCAGTGGGAAGTCCTGTGTCCTAGCGGACAAGTGAGGACCCTGCAAGCCTAGGTGTGAGGCTGTGCAGACCTCAGGGACCAAGCAGGGGCCAGATGGGACTCAGGAAGCGGGGTTCGGCCTGTGGTCTCTGATCCTCCCACCCTGTCTTCCGAAGAGAGAAGGGGGCCCTGACTGGTGTGGCTCAGCGTGTTGGGTATTTTCCCACAACTGAAAGGTCGCTGGTTCTGCTCCCAGTCAGGGCACATGCCTGGGCTGTGGATCAGGTCCCAGCAACCCTGGTTGGGGCGTGCAGGAAGCAATGGATTGATGCTTCTGTCACATGTCGATATTTCTCTTCCTCTTTCTCCCTCCCTTCTCCTTTCTTGAAAAATAAATAAATGAAAATCTTAAAAAACAAACAGGAAAGGGGGTTCTGGCTGTGCCTCAGTGTCTTTGTCTGGGAAGCTGGGAGCAGTCTGGCTGGGGCAGCTCAGCACACATCAACACTGCTTTCATACGGGGGGGGGCCGGCGGGGGGGCAGTCAGCTCAAATTAAATGAGGCATCTCAGGCACCGACTGCTTCAGCCGCACACTTTCCTGCCGCCAAAGGACCGTGGAGCCAGCAGAGGTGGGGCCCGCCCCACTGCTGGGTCTCAGCCCCACCGAGGAGCCAGAATCAAACATCTGACCCTGTGGGTGCTTCCCCTCCATCCCCAGTCTTTGCATACGTGTGCGTGCATGCAGGCGTGCGCGTGTGTACTCTCAGTGGCGTCAGCACCCCCCCCCCCAGATGGCCCTTTTGCTGGTCCTGTGTGACTGAGTGGCTGGGGTGCTATGTCCATGTCGTAGGCCCCTGCCTGAGGGGACACTGTTTATCACCACCTCCCAGTGGCTTGGGTTGGCTTTCTTGGGTCACAAGGGAGGTTCGGTATCTTCTAACACAGAAGGCGTTTGTGAAGTGTGGGCTCCTAGCTGCCTGGACCTGCAGAGCTGTGTGACGTGGGCCAGGAGGAAGGATGGGACACCCCTTTGACTTGCCAGGGCAGGAAGGCTGGCATTTTATGGTTCCCCGTCTCCCATGCCTGGGAAGCCCAACCTCACAGTGGGGCCCAAAGGGATTAGGTCACTTGCCTAGAGCCACCCCAGTGGGTGAGTAGCCTAGCTAGGGCTTCTTAGAACATTAATATGACATTCACATACCAAAACAAATCATCTACATGTGGCCCGGGTGGGGCACTTGGAGCACACAGTATCGGTGTGAAGGCCTGTGGGAAGAGCTGGTGCTCATGGGAGTTCTTGTACTCTGAGTGACCGTGAGAACCCTGCACCCTAGGGCCCTGCAGAAAGACTCCGTGTTCATGATAAGCTCCATGGTTCTAACTTCCCTTTCTCTCAACTTCCTTCTCCCTCACAGAAACAGTCCTCCTCCACCTTGGCGTGCAGGCCAGAGTGAGCATTTGGCTAGCTGTGCCTGTGTGTACTGGGTTGCCACCCTCTCTTTTCCCAAACAAATCCTGGGTGACAAAACACCTAGTCGATATTATTTTTCTGCTAACGACCTCTAGTTCCAGAACATTCCATCACCTCCAAAGGAGAGCCCATTCCCATGGGCAGGCATTCCCAGTCCCCCCTCCCCCAGGCCCAACTACCTAATCTGGCTTGCTGTCTCTACAGACGTGCCTGTTCTGGACCTTCTGCATAAATGGAATTAGACCATGTGTGGCCTTTTGTGTCTGGCTCCTGTCACTCAGCAGGACGTCTTTCAGGTTCACCCACGTTGCAGCTTGTGTCAGTGCTTCAGTCCTCTTTGTGGCCGAGTGATATTCCCGTGTGTGTGAGCCACACTTTGCTCACGCCTCATCAGCTGGTGGACACCGTGGCTGTGACTGCCTTTTGGAGATGTGACTAGTGCCACTCTGAACACCAGCTGCAAGGGTGGGTGTGAGCGCCTGTTCTGGGTCCTCTGGATGGGGACCTAGGAGTGTGAGTGCTGAGTCATATGGTAACAACAGTCCAGGCTTGAACCAGGGCCCTGCAGCCTCAGAATCTGCCCTGGGAGCTTTGGAGCCACTCTGGGTCCTCCCTGCCCGGAACCCCTGACAAGACGAGCCTCAGCTTCCTGGGGCGGGTGCGGCTGGTCGTGTACAGAACTCACTTCCTCCACCCTGGATGCAGGATAAGGGTGGTGCGCATTTCCCCGTGACACCTCGGGAGGGGCTCTGTCTGGTGTGGGGGGGCCAGCGGGACCACCCACTCCCTCAACACCAGACCTTTGAGTTGGATTCTGTCTCCTTTAGGGTGCCCAGGAACTCAGGGAACCCAGGGCTCCACAGGGTGGGGGAGGGCTCCGAACTGAAATCGTGGTGAGGGAGAATGGGCGGCCAGGGCTCCACACGGGGAAACTGAGGACCTGCCTCCATCCCTCGAAAAGGAACACGATGGGCGACTAGAGCCGTCGCCTGGCGCCCTGTGGACCCAGATCTGACCCCCCGACAGTCAGCACTACAAACCTCCAGACACGCAGATGCCCGCAGCACCGAGTGGGGGTGGGTTTGAACCTTCAGCAGCCCCAACCCCAAGAATCTGGAAATCGGACTTGCAACTTATGGAATCTTCCCGAATGCTAGCCGGTGACCTCCGGTGTCTGGGGTCTCGGGTTTTTAGGGTTGGCAACTCTCCGATCCCCTGCAGAGACCCGAAAGGCCACTGGATTCAAACTGCTTCCTGCCCCCTTTCGGCCCTTTCTTCACCGAACGCAAGGTGGACCAGCGCTGGGGGAGGCGGGGCCCTATGCCAGGGGCTGACAGGGCTGGGCTTGCACACCACCAGCGGAGGGGAGCTCACTATCTGACTGCGGGTTGGTCTCAGGTAGAATCGTGAGCCACAGAGGACAGTGGAGGCCACGAAAGGCACAGGCGGTGGATGGAGCCAAGCCCTTGAGGGGAAGGGGCGGGGCCGGGGAGGGAAGAAGGAGGGGCCAGAGAGGGGAACCTCCACCCGGCAACCGGGAAATTCGGCCCAGCAGGTGGCGGGGCAGGGGGCTGGCAGGCGGAAGGCGTGGCCTGGAGGGGGCTGCAGGGAGAGGGCGGGGACTCGCGCTCAGGTGAAACTCTTCCTCCTAGTCGCCAGCGAAGAGGAGTAGGGGTCGCAGACTGGACCGTGGTGGGGGTGAGTGTTGGGGTTTCCCGCGGCCTGGTTGACCCCCTTGGTGGAAGGGAGGGACTGCGGGTTCTTGGGGAACTCTGGCAGGTGCCTGCGGTGGGGTCTCTGCGGGGCGTTTACTGTGAACCTGGCAGGAGATGCTGGAGCGCATCTCCTTACCCCGTCTCAAAACCCCTGTCGTCCTCCGTCATCTCTAACAGTAACCCCGGCTTTTGTAAGGCTGGCTCAGACCTGGCCGGGAAGGAAGTTTCCCCCACACCTGGGGGCGGGGGAGACAGATGCCACCTGCGTCTCTGGCATCCCTGATCCCTGTATTGCCCCACGGACACTCGAGGCGACCCTAGACCCCTGCCCACCTCCAAGTATAGGGTGGGATCAGAGAAAGTGGAGGGTGAGGAGTGGAGGGCCGTCTGTGTGCTCTGGCCATTACTAGTGCTGCTGTCGTTATTGCTGAGATTGTTAGGTGCTGTGGTGGTCAGTGATGCAAGCTAAGAAAGTGCAGACAGTAAAGTTTTTATTCACGCTCCAAGAGAGGAGAGGAGCTTGGTGTGGAGAGATACACCTGCACAGAGGGGTGGCGACTTTGAGCTTTTATTGGATTTTAATTGGATTATAAAAGGTTGGGGGTGGCTGTCGGATGACCCCTGTGCTGTTGGGGGCCTTGCAACACAGGAGGTTTCCGGCGGTTTTTCATCAGCTGCAGTTTGCTCCAGTGTTATCTTTGCCTGAGGCTGGAGTGGGGTGTCGCTTTTTGCCCTTGCTTTTCCAGTAGTGCCCCAGTCCTGGGGACATAGGCTCAGAAGTGTAAAATGGCAGTGGTGTTTGACAAGGGCATAGGGCTGCTCAGCCAATGGCTCTGGTTTTGTCCTTTCACTAGGAGCACTGATTTGGGCAGGAGTAGCACCTGAGGCCCCAGGTGCGCTTTATTCCTGTTACTTGAGGGAGCCACTGCTGACCGCCAGTCTCACCCATTGCCCCCAGCCCTACCAGGCACTGGGCCACATTCAGACCCGAAGACCTCAGCTCATGGCTTCCTCGGGGTTCAGGTCCCTCAGCCTCAGTGTGGCTCGGGCAAGTTGCTCATGGTCCCTAGACATGCCTCAGTTTCCCCACTGTGAGGGAGGACAATGACCCAGCTCCCATGAGGATGTACAAGGTGTTCAGCAGGCAGAAGCTTTAATGATTAGACTGCTCCTGGCCACTGAGGACCTCAAGTGAGTGACTAGGTCTCCGAGCTTCACTTTCCCTAGGATGTCAAGTGGAGCTCATGGTATGGGTGACAGTGCTGAAGGTGACGTCAGTTAGTAGGCCCTATGGCCAATAAGTGGGTGTCCAGCAAACTTCAGCCATCACCATAACCATATGAATGATAGTTATTATTACTGTTATTGCAATCATTACATCATTAGCCAGGTTCCCAGCCGACTTTCCCTCTGGATCAGACGTTTTTCTCATGGCCACTTTTCAGATGGGGAAACTGAGGACCCCATGCCCTGCCTGGCCCTGGGACTCCTGTCATCCAGATCTGGGATTCAGTGCCCAGAGGGAGCTGGTCAGATATGGAGCCGGTCCTGGGGCCACCTCCGACTGCCTCGTGGGTTTCAGGGCAGCAAGGCTGCCGCCGCACCAGGCAGGACTGAGGATCCGAAAAAGAAGGTCTTGCCCTGCATCAGTTAGCGGGGCCCCCATCTGGCCTAGGGGAGTGGCTGTGTTTGCCCAGCCCAACCCTGACACCTACGTGTTCTTCCCTTTCCTGTACCCCAGCAGTTGGTGACTCCTGCCAAGTACTCTGGGTGTGGGGAGACCAAGGTGGGGCCTCAGAGATTCTCTGCGCCAGGTCAGAGTCCAGGGAATCCAGACAAGCTGGCTTAGCATCAGGAGGTAAGATGTCACTGGATAACTTCCTGCCACCACTTCTAAGGCCCAGATCGGAGCAGTGACATGCCTCCACTCTCACTGCCCTGTGAATCAGGGAGGGTGCCCATTGTTATGCCTCCTGATGGGAGTCTGGCTGGGCTTCATTGCCCCACAATGATGAGGAGCTCACTACATACATGGCCAACTAAAGGAAGTCCCACCAGACAGTGGTTAAAGGCAGGGTTTGGGTTCTCACCTGACTTTCTTTCAATGAGTACTTTGACCTCTCTAGCCTCAGTTTCCCTATCCATGAAAACGAAGCTACCTTGGCCCTACCTCTCAGCGCAGCTGTGGAGTATAAATAAGCACCTGGTGGAGAGGCTGCACACGGGATGTGGTGTGTTAATTCTAATCCTGATTATGCTACTCACTGTGTTCTCATGGGTGACATTGACCTCTGCGTGCCAGAAATAATGTGAAGATTGCAGGGCTCTAAGCACAAGGCCTGGAAGAGGGCCCTGACCAACCTGAAAGTGTGGGGGTCCTTCATGAAGTTCCCACAGGAACGGACCATGAGACTCAGTTTCCCCAACTAGGAAATATGCCCAGAGATGCCCTTTGAGTTTGAGCTGGGGCAGGGCTAGCATTTAATCAGAAGCCTCAGTCCAGCCTCAGATTCCTTCCTGGACCGGTCCTAGGAAGGGGAGATTCTGCTCTAGGGGAGGACAGGCTCATCCAGTGAGTCATTTGTGATGAGCCCTGGGACTGCAAAGAGAGGTTCCAGGGGTTCAAATGGTGAGTCACCCTTCTTCAACACCCATATGTTCATCAGGTGAATGTTTGCATAAATCCACCTTCATACTTGCGTAATACACCAATCTAAAGCTTTATCTTTACTGGGCTTTCCTTCTTTTTGATCTGTTTACAAAAGCTCCTCATGCTCCTTGTAAATAGGGACCAGCCCAGCACTACTAGGAGGCCAAACTGGTACTTTATGGTGAGAGATCACGCTCAGATTCAGCAGGTCAGGGCACAAATCCTGCCAACTCTCCTTGACCTCAGCTGGCTGTGTCAGCTCTGCGAGGTGGGCACCCTCTCTGTGCCCAGCTCACCCTGGAACACAGCCACCCCCAGATGCTGAGTGAGAGGCACAGGACTCCTCCACGGGCAAGGGGTCAAACCCTCTCCTGCAAGTGCCCCGGTTCCACTGCCGAGTCTCCAGGATATTGTCTGGTTCGCTGCCTCTCTGCCGCCCATCAGCACGTCAGGCCCCTGAGTGCAGGAGTCCGCTCATCAAGTTGTCTGAGCACCCAGAACCCACAGCGGGACATGGCGCAGGCCTGATGTTCAGCGCAGTCATGAGTGTACAGGTGATAACGGTGGCTGATGATGATATTAACATTGTCATCGCTGGCACTTCGCAAAGGGCTGACTTCGAGAAAAAGGCCATTGGTCGTCTAGCCTTTCCCAGGACGCAGGTTGTTGTGCACACAAATAGGGTTCTTCCAGATGCTCTGTCACCCCACCCTTCCCCTCTCCTTTTGGCAGCCTCGGAGTATTCCACAGCCCCGTCCAAAACCCAGGGGATGGCAATGATGACCCCAGCACCACTGATATTCAGCACCTGCTGGGGCCAACCCTGAGTTGGCGGCTGACACCGTCTCACTTTGCAGGCAGGATGCCGAAGCCCAGGGGTCCCAGGATGATCGGGAGCCAGGTCAAGATGTCCTTCCCCAGGCAGCACTATGGCTGCTTCAAGGGCATCAGCCCTCTCCTAACTCCTCGGACAGGGTATATAGAAAGGGCTGAACACTTTCTATATAGTGTCTTATAAATATTCAACAAGTCATTAATATTTAGTAGTGTGTATGCAATGGGTCATGAATATTCAGTGACATGTATATCTGTTCCTCAGGACTGTTTAGTCACTCGTTCATATTCATTGTGCCAATATTAATATTTATTGACGCATCATGAATGTGCCTTGCAGCTATTAATTGTTGCCTTACAACTATGCCATGCATTGTAAATACTGCGTGCTTCCTGCACATTTAGCAGGTCATTAGTGTTCAGTACTTCACTAACAATCAGCACTTCTTGCTCATTAAATGCATCGTGAATATTTCAGTGTCATGAATATGGGCTGTTTAGCACATTCAGAATATTTGGAGTGGGGAATATTCAGTGTCCCTTGGTCCTGCCCCCTGATTTTAATGCATCCTCCAAGGTCTCCCTACCCCTCCTCCCACAACCCCCCACACCCACGTGGCAGCCACCACCTTCAGTGGAGTTGGGCTGAAGTGAAGCACATGGAAATGGCTAATATATGGGTCATCATTCATATTTTGGCAACAAACACCAGTGAGCATCAAGTGGGGACACAGCTGTTGGGACAAGACTGCAGGACCCACCCCTGGGTCTGCAGGCTGGTTGGGGAATGGACAAGAGAGAAGTGAGTAGATTTGTCCAAAGGCAGTGAGAGCTGTTGCAAGAAACAAAGCCGGGACAGGGTGTTTCAGCTGAGAGGCTGAGCCCCTCTGAGGAGGTGACATTGGGCTGAGTCTGGAGATCAAGGGCAAGAGCAGGAGGGCAGGGCTTCCAAGGTGGAGGGGATGGTAGTGGCAGGGCTGAGCAGGGCAGTTAAGGAACTGTGGAGAGGTTGGTGTGGCTGGAGCAGGTGACAGGGGCCGAGGTCCTTGGTGGGGAGAGATGGGGATGGGCAGGTGCCTGAGAGGAACCGCACCTGGTAGTCGCACTGCAGGAGGCTCTTGGCAGATGCAAGCAAGCACAGGGCTTTTCTGTGGGCTCTGGAGGAAGTGCGTTCTGGGTGATGGTGAAATCGCGCCAGAGCATTGAGGGCAGACAGCCCAGAGCCAGATGGCTTATTCCGGCCACTTTGAGAAACAATTGTCAGTGACTCAGATCTGTGCCAGGTGTGTCAGCATGCCCATATCCTGAGGAAACAGTCTCCTATGAACAAGCCACTTGCCAAGGTCAACTCAGGGCAAAGAGGGACCACACAACAATGAATTTGAAACTGATCTCTCCGCTCCCTGCTAACATACCCTCCACACTTCTGTTCATCCCCCAGGAAACAGTCCTGCTTCTCAGCATGGTATTCAAGGTCTTCACGGGGTCTGGCTGCACAC